CCCCCCTGCAGCCTGGCGCGCGCCGGCCGGGCCGCACCGCTGCGGGCTCCGCGCGCGCGGGCCATGTCCGCCTTCTGCCTGGGCTTGGCCGGCCGCGCTTCAGCACCCGCCGAGCCGGACAGCGCCTGCTGCATGGAGCTGCCCGCCGCGGTCGCGGACGCAGTCGGGAGTCCAGCCGCCACTGCCCTCGTCTCCTTCCCCGGGGGCCCCGGGGAGCTGGAACTGGCGTTAGAGGAGGAGCTGGCGCTGCTGGCGGCCGGGGAACGGCCGTCCGACCTCGGGGAGCATTCTCAGGCCGAGGTCGGGCCTCCGGCCGAGGGGTCCGGACTGCAGCCGCCACCCGCCCAGGATCCCGAGCTGCTGTCGGTGATCCGGCAAAAGGAGAAGGATCTGGTGTTGGCGGCCCGGCTAGGCAAGGCGCTGCTCGAGAGGAACCAGGACATGAGCCGGCAGTACGAGCAGATGCACAAGGAGCTGACAGACAAGCTGGAGGTGAGGACGTCCCTCGTGGGATAGGTGGGAAGCACGGGGAGCCCGCCTGGCCCTGGGCAGCTTCGGGAGCCACTCACCACCCCACTCCTTCCATGCTCACGCTGCCTCAACAGAAAACCACCTGAGGGGAGGGGTAGGCTGGAGGGTTTTCAGTTATCAGACCAGGGCAACATTGAATCCATCTGACTTCAGCAGCAAATGTGTCCATGCACAGCCCCAGCCCCGCTGTGGGCCATTCTATATATGTATTGTACACTGCATCTAAAATAGAGCTTACAGTATGACTAATTTATACAGCGCTGAGGTGATGTCTGCACACAGAGAAATGAGAAAGTCGGGAAGCATTTAAAATATGCTCCAGGTTTTCAGAGTAGTTAATCTCTAATCAGGGTGTTAGCCTAAAGCCTTCCAGTTTTGGCGTGAAGGCCTCCAGATGCCCTTGTCTTAACTTACCGGCAGCTCAGAGTTGTGGGAAACAAGTGCCCCCGAAGGAGCTTTATATAGCCTTCAAATACGCAGGGATTAGGAAATGTGGCTCCATTGCAGAAATCAGGCAAGCCTGGGCTCAGCATGTGACTGTTGGTAGTGGATTTAATTTGGACCTCAGCATTTAGTACGCTTCTGTGTTCGGGCCTCATGCATGCATTTCGATGGCCGCATGCAACCTAGGAGAACCATGTTACTTTAACTGTTATAAATACCTCTTAAAGTGTCTGTAAGATTTCTGCCAATTCTCTGGACCAAAGTCTTTCTCAGAGCTATGCCTGTTTGTTTTCTTGCCCTTTACTGGAAAAGGGCCTTGAAAGTGGTATGGAATGCCAGCCTTTCTAAATTAAGGAGATTTTTTTTAAAGGGGGCGGGGGGGGCATCTGTGGCAGTGGAGAGGAGCTTCTTTTTGTTTGCCTGTGCATTTACTATTGTTACCCAGTTTGGTTGCAACCAGTTCTTTTTATCCTTAGTTACAAGAGAATAGTACAGTTCTGAACAAGGTCTGAAATTGACCCTAGTCGGCTTCCATATCTCTGCTACTGGTTTAACAGAATGTAGATTCAGAAACTTTTCTGTAATAAGATTTAAGTGTGTTTGTAGTCTAGCGACATATCAAAAGTAAATCAGGGGGGAAAAAAGGAAACCAGTGAGTGCCCTTTAGTTCAGTTGGCCTGTTAACTAGGTCGGCCAGGCGATGAACCCGTGAGATACCTCTCTGAAAAGTGGTTTGTGAAACCTGTAGGTAGACTGCCAAAAAAGCAACCCAATGAATTGAATTAATTTTCACTTGAAGGAGAGGTCTAGAAATAAAAGGGTGTCTTTTTAAAAAATGGGATTTGGTTACATGACTCTATGTAAAAGTACTGCTGCAGAGATTTATACTTGTGATTTGAAATACCTTCAGTGAGGGACTTGATTGAAGAGACAGGTAACTTGAAAGGAACATCGTATCAGTCAGTTTGATTACTGATGGATTTCAGAGTAATCCTGAGTGTGCAATTACACACATCCTGGGTTCCATGTGGAGCCTTTGTACATTTCTTCAACAAAAGAAAAAGATTTAAAAATTGTGTAACAAGAAAGGTTCTATTGTAAAAGAGTAAATTACCTTTGACTTTTTGCTATTGACCAAATAGACAATAATAAATTATTTAAAGCTTTTAGTTTTTAAAATCTTCATTGCTCTACAGGTTACCATGTGAACTCTAGTGTTAAAAATTTATTCTAATTTCTGGAGGTTGTGGTTGCACCACAGCATGAATGTACTTAACACTCCTCAACTGTACACTTAAAAATGGTTATGATGGTAAATTTTAAGTTATATATACTTACATTTTTAAACTGTTTATTTTTAAAAGCCAAATACTGATCATTACTGAAGATCAGTATTGGAGGGTTTAGTTATACTATTTTTTCAAGGTATATTTGAAGATTATCATTAAAAATTTTGGGGTTTTTTAAAAAGTACATTTAAAAATATCTCATGAAGATATTGTCATTAGTTCCTTGTTAATTCTTTTAATTCTTGTTAATTGACTGAAACCTAATAGAGGACGATTTCATGTGATACCTGCAATGAATTTTCCTCACAGTATATTTTTTTAAGCAGCCTAGATTTTAGAATGTCTGCTTAGACAAAATACTATCTTAAGTTTAACACCACCACTCTGCTATATTTTCAATTAAATTAAATATTTAAGAGTAGAGGATCTGCCCTTACAAAAAGCATTTGTAATTTTCCACAAACTGTCAGTGGAGTCAAACACATTTTCTCACAGGTTGGTTTGAAAGATTAACACATGAGTGGACTCTGAGAGAATGTTGGCTTGACTGTTAAATAATGAGAGTGGTCTTGTTTTAGTCCCCTCTGTTCCCTTACTACTTCAAAATTGGCACATTTCTAACTTCAGGACCGACAAGCCATTGTCAAGATTTTTTTCTACCTATTTATTAGTTAATACTGAATAGATTTCCAGGTCTATGTGCCAAACCTACGATTTTGTTTTGTCATTTAAAACATAAAGTTTTGGGGCGCCTGGGTGGCTCAGTTGGTTAAGCGACTGCCTGCGGCTCAGGTCATGATCCTGGAGTCTCGGGATCGAGTCCCGCATCGGGCTCCCTGCTCAGCAGGGAGTCTGCTTCTCCCTCTGACCCTCTTCCCTCTCGTGCTCTCTATCTCTCATTATGTCTCTCTCAAATAAATAAATAAAATCTTTAAAAAAATAAAGTCTTGATTTTATACTGCACTCTCATTTAAAGGCACATTCTTTAAAGTCTATAATGGTTTAAAGGTTAACAGAATTTTTTTTACCTGTATATCTCAGAGTAATCTCTGCAGATTAATTTAATTTGAAAGACTGGAAGATTTGGTCATTTTTTCCACCCTTAAATTGACTATATTGTATTTTATTCATTCACTGAATTACATTTTCATATGCTTAGAGTTCTAAAGTTATTTTTTTTTAAGATTTTATTTTATTTCTTTTTAAAGATTTACTTCTTGGGTTGCGTGGGTGGCTCAGTCGGTTAAGCATCTGCCTCCAGTCCAAGTCATGATCCCAAGGTCCTGGGATCGAGTCTCACATCAGGCTCCTTGCTCCGCAGGGATCCTGCTTCTCCCTCTGCCTGCTGTTCCCTTGCTTGTGCTCTCTCTCTGACAGATAAATAAATAAAATCTTAAAAAAAATAAAGATTTATTTATTTTAGGGAGAGAGAGAGAGAGCAGGGTGGGGGATGCAGAGGGAGAGAGAATTCTGAAGCAGACTCCCTGCTGAGCACAGAGCCAAATTTGGGGCTTGAACCCAGGACCCTGAGATGATGACTGAGCCGAAATCAAGAGTTAGCTTAACTGACTGGCTATCCAGGTGCCCCTTAAGATTTTATTTTTTAGGTTATCTCTGTGTGCACTCTGGGTCTCAAAACTCACAACCCAAGACCGGGAGTCCCATACTCCACCAGCTGAGCCAACCAGGCACCCCTAAACTTATTTTTTTAAAGATTTACTTATGTATTTTAGAGAGAATGTGGGGTTGGGGGGGCACAGGCAAGGGAGAGGGAGAAAGAATCCCAAGCAGACTCCCCGCTGAGCCTGGAGCCCTGTACAGGACTCCCATCATCTCAGGACCCTGAGATCAGACCCCAGTCAAAACCAAGGGTCCCACACTTAGCTGACTGCAGCATCCAGGTGCCCCACTCCTAACATTTTTAAAAATTTATTTCTTCCAGGGGCGCCTGGGTGGCTCAGTTGGTTAAGCGACTGCCTTCGGCTCAGGTCATGATCCTGGAGTCCCGGGATCGAGTCCCGCAGCGGGCTCCTTGCTCGGCGGGGAGCCTGCTTCTCCCTTGACCCTCCCCCCCTCATGTTCCCTCTATCTCATTCTCTCTCTCAAATAAATAAATAAAATCTTTTTAAAAAATTTATTTCTTCTGGAGGTACCTGGGTGGCTCAGTCTATTGAGCGCTGGACTCTTGATCTCATCTCAGGTCTTCATCTCTGGGTGGTGGGTTCAGGCCCTATGACTTGGCTCCGTGCTGGGGGTGGAGCCTACTTTAAAAAAAATAATCTGCATCTACAGTGAGCCCTTTTGCTTTTATTATTATTTTTTTTATTAAAAGATTTTATTTATTTGAGAGAG